TTACAGTTCCACCCTTCACATCAGAATCCCCCCTTTCACATTACAGTCCCCTCTTCACATCATAGTCCCCCCTTAAACATTTGAGTTCCCCTTTCACATCAGAGTTCCCCTTTCACATCAGAGTCCCCCTTTCACATCAGAGTCCCCCCTTTCACATTACAGTCCCCTCTTCACATCATAGTCCCCCCTTAAACATTTGAGTCCCCCTTTTACATCACAGTCCCCCCTTCACATCAGAGCTCCCCCTTCACATCACAGTTCCCCCTACACATCAGAGTCTGCGCGGCAGGGATAGCGCGACTTTCGGGGCGACGTTCCAGAGACGATGCAGCGACGGTAGAGCGACCTTCACCGTCGGGCTCCATTAAGAAATAGAAAAGTCGCGCACAATCCGCCGAAAAAAGGGTCCTGCTGGAGCGACAGCGGGCGACATGGAGCTAAGACAGCTCCATTGAATAGCATTGGCCGGCGACTTCTCGCGATATCGCGAGACAAAAATGCACAATATCGCGGTGGAAATCACGCGATAAATTGCTTAGTATGAATGGGGCCTTACAAGTTTAAACAGAGTCCCAGCGGCGAAGGCCGCCGGGAGTCTGTTTAAACAGCCCCGATGCTGGCGACATACACTGTACGTCGTCAGTCGTGAAGGGGTTAAAGGTTTGAATGTTCAGTTGAGAGCTGAAATAAGCTCACTGGCAACCTCGAAAGTTAGCACTAGACATGTGCAGTTCGTTTAGTTCCGAATCAAAATTCGGACGAAATTTTCGGAAATTCGGAGACTCGGATGTATCCGAATTCCGAATTACTGATATAACGAATGCAAACTAATCCGAATATTTTTTTTTGTTCTCAAATGTCACTTTGCTGCAATGAGCGAACGAAACGACAATTCGTACAGACTAGCGCTAACGAATTTCGTCCGAATCCAAATCCCGAAACTAATTGACTTTCGGATCCGAATCCCGAAAAACAAAATAATGCAAAATCCGAATCAAAACGAAACGAAACACATTTTTTGCCGGTGCACATGTCTAGGTGGCACGCCTTAAAAGTAACTGATTTGGAAGACATTAAAGTGACACTAAACTCAGGAGTTAAATCTTAAAAATACATTCAAGTACCTTAAATATAAACAAAAATGTATCTTATTTGTGTATCACTCTGCTGTAGATCCTCCAATCATCTCTGAATTGGTGCTGACACTGTCCTTCCTTCTGGATGGGGGCTACTTTTCTTTCCCATGGTCCCTGTGTGTGTTGTAAAGTAGTCACCGCTCAAGGAGAAAAAACACTCCCTTCTCTATCCAAAATGGCAAAACAATGTTTTCCCTTTAAATACACTTTAAGCCAAATAAAGGGGTAAATACACTGTAAACCTTTCATTAGTAAACCAAAGAGTTGTAATAATGTAAAACTTAGAGGATAACTTATAACTCTTCTGCCCTTCCTCTGGGTGGATGCTGGTCACACAGCAGTACTGCCACTCGATGGCATCTAGTGGCAGTAGTGCTGTGCAAACAGCATCAACAGAGTGTAAAGAGTTAAAAATCAGCTCCTCAGGCGTCATTCTCACTGAGCGTTTTGTAGCGCTTTTTCTGCTCAAAACGCTCCAAAAAAAGCCCCCCATTCATTTCAGTGATCCTGTTTACATCTGAGTGTTATGTTCCCTGTAGCAAACCCCCCGTCGCTTGTAGCAAGTACATGAGCAACTTTTTGGCAGATTCTGCACTTCTTGGCCCCCATAGACTTCAATGGAAATGCTCAAAAACGCACGTTTTTGCGCGTTTGTGCATTGACTTCAATGTGTCGCAATCTGCTCATTAAAACGCGTAATTTTTGCCCATAAAAAGCACGTTAAAAATATGCACATACGCACAGAAACGAGCTGAAAACGCGCTTATTTCTTGTTGCTCAGGTGTGAACGCAGCTTTAGATTCTTACCGAAATCCAGTCTTTGCTGGTTCTCTTGAAAAACCTGGGGCTGTGTCCACGCCAGAAAAGCTGGCAGGTCTCCAAAATTCAGAAATGTCTTAATATTTCTTATTATTTGTATTTTATACAGGCTGAAACAACTACTTGTATACATACACACATTTTAAGGTAAGTCTGAGTCTTCCAGGTAAAATGATACAGCCAAACTGGATTTACAACCTTCCTCTTCTACTAGAAACAAGGTGATTACTCAACGTAAACCAAAGGTAAACATTATGGGACACAGCTCACCAAAAGTATGGCCTGGGTGCAGCTGACAATGTTACTTGTGGTCTATGTTAAAGCTGAGCTCCAGGGTTAGCAAATATTGTCTACATACAAGAGTCATGTGTATTCTTACATGAATCTTGGTGAGCTTTGTGTCTTTCTTCCAAATCTGTGTAGTAATCTAATGTGAAACTTTTCCTCTGTGCAGAAGCTTTCCATTATCAAGACCGGTCACTGTTGCTGTCTCTACCTGTGCAGGGTGATGGGTCTTGTCTCCGCCCCCTCCTGTAATAAAGACCAATCACTTCTGCTCTCTGTCCTTATGCAGAGTGAATGGTCTTGTCTCTGCCCCCTCCTGTAATAAAGACCAATCACTGCTGCTCTCTCTCTCCTTGTACAGGGTGACTGGTTTTGGCTCCGCCCCTCCTGTAATAAAGACCGGTCACTGCTGCTCTCTCTCCTTGTGCAGGGTGACTGGTCTTGTCTCTGCTCCTCCTGTAATAGAGACTAATCACTGCTGCTCTCTCTCCTTGTACAGGGTGACTGGTTTTGGCTCCGCCCCTCCTGTAATAAAGACCGGTCACTGCTGCTCTCTCTCCTTGTACAGGGTGACTGGTTTTGTCTCTGCCCCTCCTGGAATAAAGACCAATCACTGCCGATCCCTCTCCTTGTGCAGGGTGACTGGTCTTGTCTCTGCTCCTCCTGTAATAGAGACTAATCACTGCTGCTCTCTCTCCTTGTGCAGGGTGACTGGTCTGGTCTCTGCCCCTCCTGGAATAAAGACCAATCACTGCCGATCCCTCTCCTTGTGCAGGGTGACTGGTCTTGTCTACAGCCCTACTGCAATAAAGACCAGTTACTGCTGCTCTCTATCCTTGTGCAGGGTGACTGGTCTTGTATCCGCCCCTACTGTAGTTTTCTGCAGGCTGCCTATAGTAGGTGGGGCCAGCTGGGCTCCTCCCACAGCTTTGCTCTCTGCACAGGTTTGTACAGCACGAGGATGATGTCACTGCTTCCATTGCAAGCTAATATTCGAGTTTGCAAAGGCAAAATTGGATTGATATCTTATGTGACTATTGAGCAATACATTTAAATGAAAGCAACCCACTATAGGAGGAACCAGTGCTACAGGGGAACCACGGAGATCGAATGAGGTGTCTGTTTACTTATAGACTCGAGGGGGCCATTTCTCGGGATCAGAGCACAGACAGCAGTAGAGGTCTGGTTCTTCTTTACATGTATGTCCTTGGTGTAGAGTTTTTATCAAATGACAGGGTCTCTTTAAGCACATCTGAATGGCATTGAAGTCCCAGCCCAGCAAGCCTTTGCATTATTAAGGTGCCAGTCCATTAAAATGCACAGGTTTGTGCCAGGTCAGTGAGCAAGTATAGAAGGATAAAGATAACTGCTTTGGAGCCGCTTCCACTTAGATGACAACACCCCTCCACCTGATTTAAAATGGTGAATAAGCATCTGTACAAAAAAAAATGCAGCATTTAAAAAAAATCTCAGAATGCAATTGGTGTTGCTTCTGGGAGATGGATTCTCAGTATCGAACATCTAGCTCTCCCCACAGCTCCTGCTTCTGGGACATCACATTACCTCACCACTGCAAGCCTGAAGAGCTGGAATTTAGTTTCTTAGAAGGAATTTCCCCATTGGAAGATTTCACATCTATTCCAGTTTCAGTGTTGTAATAGTATTCAGTAGAGGTGCACCGAAATAGAAATTTAAAAACCGAAATTAAAAAAATTGTCAGGCCGCAAACCGAAACCAAAACCGGAAATGTTTTTATTTTAATTTTTTCACATTTTTCAAATATTTTATTTTTATTTATTTTTATAAACTTTTACATTTTTTATATTTATTTTTATTTATTAATTCATTTTTTATTAAATATTTTTATTTTTTACATTCGATGTATCGACAGGAAAATGGCACTTTCCGGAATTTAGCCGAAAGTGCCATTTTCGGCCGATATGTTTCGGCGGCCGATATATCGGTGCATCCCTAGTATTCAGTGTTGTCCAGAATGTGTTGTAATAATACATTATGGTCACTAGATGGAGCTGAGAATAAATATTTTTCTTTCCTCCGCTCTTCAGCTCCATCTAGCGGCCATTATGTGTTATTAGAGCGTACTACATTCGAACTGGAGGACAAAATAATATATTTGCAGGGCAAAGGGCAGGACAGGGAGTGAAGGAAAATCCCACAGGGCACAGATAGCAAAAAAAAAAAACCTGTGAGGGATCTAACACATTCTCTATTCTATTCAAAACTAAAAAGAAAAAAGTTTTGGCTGTTGATATACTTTAACCCAGGCCCTAAACCCCTAAGACAGGGGTGGCCCTAACCCCCTAAGACAGGGGTGGGCAAACTCAAACAACTGTTGAGGAACTACAAATCCCATGAGGCATTGCAAGATTCTCACAGGCATGACTCCCAGAGACTCCCAGAGTTTGCCCGCCCCTGTCCTAGGAGTAAGTTATAGAAATTATATTGTTTAATTAAACTTTGAATTAGCCATTGAGATAAGAACATCTGAAGTACAGCGTGTCCTCCTACATGACGAAGTTCTCTCCAATCCTCCTCATCCTTGCTGCAAGCTTCTTGCAGCGCCGCCAGGATGAATTATTCATAAGCCCTCTGTAACGCTCCTGTTTTTCCACATTATATATTCATTTGTAAACATTATGACCCACAATTAACCCTTTATTTGCTCCCAGCTATATTTAGTAAATGAAGCTGCGGTTACATCAGCGGTAGGTGACATACAAGCCCCGAGGGCCATTTCCAGGATCACGCAGCATCGCGAACTTGACAAACAGCATAATTCCCCGCCTCCCTCAGCCTGAAGAATTTACAACAGGTAAACAAGAGGGCGGAAACCTGTACGTCTAGGTGTATAAATCTTTATTTAATACATCGCTTTCAGGAGGTGTAAAGACGAGCACTGGAAAATGGCAAGCGGAGGATCGGTCAGAGAGCTGCAGGACGGTTCGTTGTGCCCCTTGTGCAGCTGTTACTTTAAGGATCCCGTGACCACAGAGTGTGGGCACAGCTACTGCCGGGTGTGCTTGGTCACCTACGCTGGAGGGAAAGAGAACATGGGACAGCTGATGTGCCCCAGCTGCAGGCGAGTGATGGCATGGAGAGTGGTGACCACTGACGTTCGGCTTGGGGTCACCACGCGCATTGCCCAGAGGCTCAATATCCAGGCTCTGCCACCCAGGAGGAAAAAGATGGGAAGGGTGAGTCTATTTTCTTTTAGGTTTCAGAAATAAAAACAGAGACCGTTACTGAATAGTGTCCCATTATAAGTCAATTGAGGATTATTCCTTTAAATGATAAGACAGATTAGCAGGATACAATTCCCTGCCATTATTGTCTATTAAGCCGACTGTACATGTGGTAATGTGATGGTGTGGTCACATTTTCTATTTCCTTTTGTTTTTGAATCGCAAAGCAATCAAAGACGCCGGGAGGTGAGGTCAAAATTCAACATAGCAGAAAAATCCGAGCACTTTGCTGTAGCTTATCCCATTTTAATTATTTACTAGTCTTTTATCAAACTGTATTCCAGCTGTCAATTTCATGTCCAGTTACAATGTGATGATCAACCAAATTCTGTTGGTCGATCAAGCTCGTGGATAGAAGATTGTTCAGTTTATTGCCCAGTTTTAATTTATTGCACAGTTGCCATGCCATGATCAACCAAATTCTGGGGTTGATTAAGGTCATGGGTAAATGATTGCTCAGTTTATTGTCCAGTTTCAATTTATTGTCAAGGATCCATGTTAGGATCAACCAAATTCTGGTGGTCAATCAACCTCGTGGGTGGAAGATTGTATGGTTTATTGTCCAGGTTCCGTGCCAGGATCAACCAAATTCTGGTGGCCAATCAAGCTCGTGGGGGAAAGATTGCTTGGTTTAGTGTCCATGATCTACCAAATTCTGGTGGTCAGTCAAGCTCGTGGGTGGAAGATTGCTCAGTTTATTATCCAGGATCCATGTCACGATCAACCAAATTCTGGTGGTCAATCAAGCTCATGGGTAGAAGATTGCATGGTTTATTGTCCAGGTTCCATGTCATGATCCACCAAATTCTGGTGGTCAATCAAGCTCGTGGGTAGAAGATTACTTGGTTTATTGTTCAGTTTCAATCTATTGTCCAGTCTCCATGTCATGGTCAACCAAATTCTTACAGTCAATCATACTTGTGGGTGGAAGATTGCTTGGTTTATTGTCCAGTTTCCATGTCATGATCAACCAAATTCTGATGGTCAATCAAGCTCGTGGGTAGAAGATTGCATGGTTTATTGTCCAGGTTCCATGTCATGATCAACCAAAGTCTGGTGGTCAATCAAGCTAGTGGGTGAAAGACTGCTCAGTTTATTGTTCAGTTTCAATTGATTGTCCAGTCTCCATGTCATGGTCAACCAAATTCTGACAGTCAATTAAACTTGTGGGTGGAAGATTGCTTGGTTTATTATCCAGTTTCCATGTCATGACCAACCAAATTCTGGTGGTCAGTCAAGCTCGTGGGTGGAAGATTGCTTTGTTTATTGCCCAGTTTCAATTTTTGGTCCAGTTTCAATGTCACAATTACCAAATTCTGGTGGTCAATCACCACAGGTGGAAGATTGATTGGTTTATTGTCCAGGTTCAATTCACCATGCAGTTTCAGTCAAGATCAACCAAATTCCAGTGGTCAATTAAGCTTGTGGATGGAAGATCGCTTGGTTTATTGTCCAGTTTCATTTTATTGTCCAGTTTCAGCTTTTGGGGGGGAAGCTTGTTCAGTTTATTGTCTAGTTTCATTTTATTGTCCAGTTTCAGCTTGTGGGTGGAAACTTGTTCAGTTTATTGTCCAGTTAGTAAAGATCAATCAAATTCTGGAAGATTGTTCAGTTTCTGGTAAATACTTTCAATCATGTTTGCCATCCGAAAAGTCAATAAAATTGACTGAAAATTGCCACATGTATGTTTTGTCTTTTTTGATTCAATATATTTTTATTTCAATAAACATACTTATACAAACTTTGTTAAAAAAAAGCAGTGAAAAATACATTTAAGCATCATAACTGTTGTCTCCCAAATAACATTACTATGTATCTCTCCGTATATTAATCTTCCACTTTATCTTACATTCATCCAGGCAATATTCTAGCTTGACAGTGTTCGTTATCTCATGTTCCATTTCTTCTCCTATACACTCATCTGACATTTATTCTACTATCACATCATGTTCTAATTAGAGAGGGGGGAACATGCAGGGGTATAAATGTTCTCTCCTATATGTAAGTAGATGGAGAGAACCTCCGCACTCCTCACAGCAGTCCCGGCCAGATATGAAAAAAGTGGTGCTCGCAGTGATGAGATACCACGGATGGCGCCGTGCAAACACAGGAAAGTCAGGAAATCACCTGCACTCAGTAGTAAAGATAAATATGTCCCTTTTATTGGACAGAAAGCGTCACAGACATCCAAATAAACCGACGTTTCGGGACCGCGCAAGGTCCCTTCCCCACCTCCCTGGTGATAACTTTGTGTTGGTTTATACTTCTCACCCTTCTTCTCGCCCTACGTGTATTACCACATGTATGGTTAGCCTAAAAGACTACCACTTAGCTGTTTGTTCTGACAGCAAGTTCTACCGATACTAAACCACCCCGAGCCCCTGTTAGCATTTGAGCGAAAACTTTTTCAGACGATTTTCTTATTGTTTTGCACTTTGAGCATTTTTTTGCCCCATAGACTTCATAGGGGGCACTTGAAAAAAACTAAAACACCAATGGAAACTAAGAAGAGGAGGCAATTGATAACTGCAAAATTGCAGTTTATGTGTGTTGTTCAGGGGTTTTTTAAGGGCTGTCATTGAAGTATATGGGACTTGAAACGCACAATTATGCTGGGGGAAAAAGCTCATGTACTTTTTCGAGGGACACGGTGCTCAGATGTGAACAGGCACCATTGAAAATATTGCGATTCAAGATGCTGAGTATTGTCGCGCCTTGGGAAACGTGCGGCAAAATGCCCAGGTATGAATGGAGTCGTTATAGATGTACACAATGATACGTGGGCTTATTCAATCCATAGAAAGTAACCGGGATTCCCTTTACTAAAGGCAGACCACAATAACATGGGTTCTGATTGGTTGTTATAGGTTACTACCCTTTCAGTGCACAGTATTGTGTTACTCTAGCCGCCACCGAAAAATTAATCTCTTTACCAAGTGCCCATATCATGCAGACTATGTGCACAGAACGGTATCTGTGTCTGTGCCCCCCATGACTTTCAGTAATGAAGGAAGTCTGATTGGATGTCGCACAATTAGGATGGAAGATGTGAGTGCTCCATTGGCATATGGTTCTCAAGGGGAGCACTCCTAAGGGCTGTGACACCATGTGGGTGGTTGGTGGTCGCCCAGATCACCCATATAAATCCCATATAAATCTATTACATTTTTTGTAGATCCTGCTGCCAAGTACGCACTGACATTTTATGGGGAGAATGAGTCGCGGCTTATTCATGTCTAGATAGCACCACCCATTCATATGTAAATATCACAGTTAAGTGGCCAGTAGCACCTCTCTTAATTTTGGTTGCCCTGAATCCTGGACAGGTGGCAACCCTACTTACTATACCTTGCTTCCCGCTACTTCCTATGGAAATCGTGCTCAGAGCAGGACGCTTTGCTTGAGCAACACTAATGTTGCTTCCGAGCTCTCATTTGTGTCTTTTTGTTCCTGACCTGCTTTTCCTGGAACTGATCTTTCATGCACTGACTTGGCTTAGTTCTCCTGACTACATTTGTCTGCTGCCAAACCTGACCTTTGGCCCATCTTCCGGGTTCTCTTTTCTCTGCTCCCATCTCCCTTTTGCCACCGCTGCCTGGAATGCTGTTCCCTTCTCTGCCTCCTGTGTGTATGGGTACTCTCCACATGTGAGCAGTGTGAACCCAGGGGGCGCGACCTGGTCTCAGCATACAAGGGGGGGGGGACATGATCACCAAGTGAGTCAGTGTAGTCCCTTCTATATTAAAAGGCTCTACCTAGTCCTAGAACTATCTTCCCCTCTTAACCCTTTCATTATTCTTCACTCTTACCTGCCTAAATGTTCTCTCCTATATGTAAGTAGATGGAGAGAACCTCCGCACTCCTCACAGCAGTCCCGGCCAGATATGAAAAAAGTGGTGCTCGCAGTGATGAGATACCACGGATGGCGCCGTGCAAACACAGGAAAGTCAGGAAATCACCTGCACTCAGTAGTAAAGATAAATATGTCCCTTTTATTGGACAGAAAGCGTCACAGACATCCAAATAAACCGACGTTTCGGGACCGCGCAAGGTCCCTTCCCCACCTCCCTGGTGATAACTTTGTGTTGGTTTATACTTCTCACCCTTCTTCTCGCCCTACGTGTATTACCACATGTATGGTTAGCCTAAAAGACTACCACTTAGCTGTTTGTTCTGACAGCAAGTTCTACCGATACTAAACCACCCCGAGCCCCTGTTAGCATTTGAGCGAAAACTTTTTCAGACGATTTTCTTATTGTTTTGCACTTTGAGCATTTTTTTGCCCCATAGACTTCATAGGGGGCACTTGAAAAAAACTAAAACACCAATGGAAACTAAGAAGAGGAGGCAATTGATAACTGCAAAATTGCAGTTTATGTGTGTTGTTCAGGGGTTTTTTAAGGGCTGTCATTGAAGTATATGGGACTTGAAACGCACAATTATGCTGGGGGAAAAAGCTCATGTACTTTTTCGAGGGACACGGTGCTCAGATGTGAACAGGCACCATTGAAAATATTGCGATTCAAGATGCTGAGTATTGTCGCGCCTTGGGAAACGTGCGGCAAAATGCCCAGGTATGAATGGAGTCGTTATAGATGTACACAATGATACGTGGGCTTATTCAATCCATAGAAAGTAACCGGGATTCCCTTTACTAAAGGCAGACCACAATAACATGGGTTCTGATTGGTTGTTATAGGTTACTACCCTTTCAGTGCACAGTATTGTGTTACTCTAGCCGCCACCGAAAAATTAATCTCTTTACCAAGTGCCCATATCATGCAGACTATGTGCACAGAACGGTATCTGTGTCTGTGCCCCCCATGACTTTCAGTAATGAAGGAAGTCTGATTGGATGTCGCACAATTAGGATGGAAGATGTGAGTGCTCCATTGGCATATGGTTCTCAAGGGGAGCACTCCTAAGGGCTGTGACACCATGTGGGTGGTTGG